AAAAAAAAGTGAAGGATGTAAAAAAAAAGGGACATATCAAACAAAATAGTGGGATATAATAAAAATAGTTAGTTTAAGGGGGGGGGGTTAAGCGCAAGGAAGAAGATGAGAAATTAAATGATAAGTGAGCAACGAGGTTGTAAGCGAGAGGGGATCAAGTGCCACATTCAGATTTTAGACGACTTTCCTGAGGACCTTGAGAGGCCTTGGATGGCAGATTATTGTTTCCATTTTTTTATTATTTACATTTTTAGTACATTTTAGAGCTTTAATTTGAGACAACGGTCGTACCTTGAGTCTGCTCGTGACCCGTTCGGTGAGAGCCTTCCCGTTGACCTCTCCGATTTTCCTGAGGGTCTCGATGGCCTCGTCCACGTTCCCCTGCCGCAGGTTCCACCGAGGCGATTCTGGCAGGAACCTTACGAGTCGACAACAAAAAAAATGGAGAGGTTTCGGTCGGATGCGATCGGACGGGCGAGACTCGGGATCGGCTGGGGGAGATCTGACCAGTAACCGAGGAAGAAGGGGATGAGAGGAGCGGCCGTGACGTAGGAAAGGATCTTCCAGTCCTGGGAGAGGAAGGCCATTCCGCCCAGCATCAGCAGACCCAGCGTGAACCAGAAACATGTGAAGACCGTGACGAAACCCCGGTTTTTCGCACCTACAAACTCCAGACCTGGCAAAAAAAAAAGGTTAAAAAAAAACTCGTACTATGACTGCACTGGTGTATCTGCGTTTGCTCGAAATGTCAAGATTACCGATGATGAATGGTATTTGCCAGATGGCCGGAATCGTGAGTCCGACCATGAACCTGGCAATGCAGAAAGCGGTGAAATTGGGGGAAATCCCCGTCCCGAATCCCGCCACCACTTCCACGAGGAGACAGAGGAAAAACGCCTTTCGCCTCCCGTACCTGAAAGCACGCCGGTCCCTTGTTTCGATCGAGTGTCAGATAAAATTTTCGAACTTTGAATAAAAGATGAATGGGTTGAATTCTAAAAAGCCTCAGTTGGAAGGAAAAAAATCGCCTCGGTTTCGTTGAAAAATAAATCAGATAAAATTTATGTCTCTTTCATCGCTCTGACCAGTCACTGATGAACCCGAAGAGGGCGATGCCGAAGAAGGAGCCGGCATTGAACAGGGCCAGAGCCAAAGGCGGAAAATAATCCTTGTCGCACACCAGCTCGAACTAAAACACAAACGAAATATTTATAAATAAATAAATAAAAAAAGCTTCAGAAAATTAAAGGATCCTTTTTCACTTGAGAGACGATGGACGAGGGAGTCGCGGACATGTTGAAAGCCCATCCATTTCGACAGGCCGTCTTCGTCCAGGTCTCATTCGCGAGCGGAGCGACACCGTTCAACGCCTGCAGTAAGGTCTCGGCGGTCACGTCGAACTCTCTGCAACGGTCCACATCACCACCTTGCTATGCGAGGTCACAGAGCACATCCCAGCGAGTTCTCTATACCCATCGTCGGAAATGCACGAGGGAGATCGGCACGAGGTTCCGAGTACCGTTAAGGGGAGGAGAAGCTTGAGATCAGCGGAAGAATTGATGAGGTTTTCGATCTGCTCCGATAGCCTGCATCGATGAGGGGGGATTTGACTCATGAAGACTTGGGAGAAGGCGTGGAGCCCGCACGGGATGCAAGCCGGGAAGACGATCAACCAGAGGATGAGCCTCTGCCAACGGCCGTACGAGCCCACCTCTTCCAGGGCATCGTCGAAACTGCCCACCTGTGAGAAGGAAGGAAAAAAAGAAGAATATTATGCATGTAGTCAATATTTTTGTAATGTATATATATGTGGTTTCCGTGGTGTAGTGGTTATCACGTGCGCCTCACACGCGCAAGGTCCCCGGTTCGATCCCGGGCGGAAACATCTTATTTTGTTCCTTAAGTTGTACTTTGTCTGCACTATACATGCATTCTTTCCACTTTTTCTCTCCTCATCCTCGTAATGGCAAAGGATAGACTTCGTATGGATGATCCAAGGGTATCGAGTGAGGGGCCGTACGGACAGAGCCAGGCCCCCGTTTCTCGAGCAGTGCGCAGTCTCGTCCTCACGTGCAGTACTCGTACTTATCCAGATGTTATGATATCCCCTGTGTCGTGCAAGAAGGTCATAAGCGCTTCTGAGAGTACTTTTCGGTAGATGACGCGAACTTCTGATGATACGTGTAACAGTCTTCCACTAACAGTCCCATAAAAGGATGGACAGGACGACCGAGCAAAGTCAATATGGCTCTAATAACGATTATCTATCAGAAAGTAACCTGAGAGGCACTCACGCCCTTCTTGCACGGCACAGACGATATGTCTGGTTCCACACAAAAAGGGGGAAGGAGTCTTGTCTCATCATCTCTGTTGGCAGAGACTTATAGGTAAAGCGACTCGGTATTTCAGGGCGTAGGGGACTGAAGTACAGGTACAATACTCCTTACAATTTTGTCAGGTACGATTACCAGCGTAGCCAGACATGTCTAAAAATAGAGTTTGAGAAGGTTCACATCGCATCTCTGTCCCCTTTGCTCCTCTCGTATTCTCTTCCATACTTTTTTTTTTTCCTCTCGCCAAATCTTGACCCATTTAACGGGGCCCGCTTTTCTCGCTACGCTGGTGAGTGCGCTGCTTGAAAAGCTTCAGATTGTTCACGAAAAACTTAAGTTTCAAGATGTACGTAGGCCTAAACTGTCTGGTAGCATGTGATATAATTACCTTAAAAAATTCGAGCTTCTTGCACAAATTTCGGCGTTTGAAGTAATATAAATCTCAGGGACCAGATTCCTCCAATTTTTTTATGAATGTAAAATGTCGACTAAATTCTCTCGACATTGCTTCTCTTCTCTGCAGGATTTGAACGGCCGAAAGCAGCAGGAGAAGAGTTCAGCTCGTTCCTGGCCTCTTCGTTCCCTCGAGTGAGTCCCTCGTTGCAAGGCCATTCGGAATGACGTCTCGTGGCGGGTCCGCGAAGCACGTTGGTGTTAACTTTTCCCGATGAGAATGAAATTTTTCTTCCTATGACTATGGATTAGCAACGTTACCGTTGGTTTCGATCGAGTGAACATGATTATTTGACGGTAAGAAAACGTCACATGAAAACGTTTGTGGCGTTACTGCAGCCAATGGATCTCCGATCTCTTCGGTATACCGAGGGTTTAGAGTCAAAGTCGGCCATGAGCGCAAAAATTTCATTTTTACGGAAATCGCATTTAGGAGTTTTTGTTGAAAAACATATTTCGAGAATGCGTGACAGCAGTGCAAACCGTGATTTTAAAAGCTTGAAACTTCGCGTAGAAGATCCAACGTAAAGGTCGATAAAAGGATGACCTTCATGGGATAAAGAAAAGGCCTCAGGCAGCCAAACCCACTCGCATGGAAAACGAAGCGACACCATCTCTACTCGCAGATGAAATGCCCCAGCGAACGAAACCTTTTACGAGAGACGATTCGAACACGCCGAAACAAAATCAATCCTTGTGTGTCTCGACGAGGGCAACGCTGTCGACGAAAATTCGACTTTCGGAACGAAAACTGCGATCCTCTGTCGTGGGACATATGCACCGTGTCAGTTGCCTTTTTTATTATATGCAAATGGTATCGTGCAAGCCGCATGCTTTTCTGCACGTGATATCTCAGATGAGCAAGAAAGATTTCTACCAAAAGTTTTACAGAAATTTTCATCCAGTAATACTGAAGCAATAACTTATTGAAAGTCGAAGCCTTTAAAATGGCAGCGAACTTTAGCGTACGGTTGCGGATGATCACATTGCGTGATCACGTGGGTGATCAAACTGACGACAAGCAAGGACAAACCGGCGAAGGATTCGTACGACTAAAGAAAGCGAATTCCGAGCGTGAATGCGTTTCGGGCAAGGATAGGGAGCGAAGTTAACCAGGCCCGACGGCAGGGGAGCAATCGGGGGTTTTCCACGCCTTGCTGCAGGGCTTCGTGGAGGATTTGCGTCCCGAGAAAGCGATCGAGAGCGCCCAGACGGTTTACAGGTTTACAGCTAAAGTTGGTCTGATTTACAGGTGAAGATGCGGCCCTCATCGGAAGCGAGAAGCGCGAATCACGACCGAGCGGACCGAGAGGATCGTCGGACACCCGCGAGAGCACGATAGCGGGGAATCGGGTCGGCGAAGCGGGAGGTCGAGGAACGGCATCGATGCTAACAATAATCCCAAGGCCTTTCATCGATATTCCATCAGGAGGTGTCACCGTTCGATCGATCCCCTCAAGAACGAGGGAAAGCGAATCGCGAGCACCGGAGGCCGGAATACCTGTACGAGTTCCTCGCTTCCGTTTCCAATAGCAAATCTGACGACGCATCGAAGTTGATCTCATCCGAGAGGAAGAGATCATTCGTAGGATTAGGAAATCGTCGGGAACTGGCCCCGACGGGATTCCGGCGAGTGTCGTCGAGGAACTCGGGATGGAAGTATCCGTACCGCTAAGAAAGATATCTGAGATTAGCTTTTCGCTCGGAGAAGTGCCTCGAGACCGGAAACGAATGAACGTCGTACCGATCTTCGAGGGAGAACGGAATCCGGGTTATTACTGGCCTGTAAGCCTCAGAAATACTCCAGGGAAGATGATGGAGAGCATCGGTAGGGATCACGACTTGGATTTTCTCGAGGGAAAAGAGCTCATCCGGGACTTTCGGACTGTCTTTAGGAGACGATGCAATCGCCCGATCGATTTGTTCGAATTCTACGATTTGGTGAAGAAACCGAAAGATGAGGGGATTCCCGTGGACATAGTCCGCTTAGATTTCGCGAAAACTTTCGATACTCCCAAAGAAGAGATCGGGGCGAGGTCAAGCGACAGCTTCTTTTTTGTGGTTCCGCGTTAACGATTTTTATAAAGTCCTAGCGAGAGAAAGGACAGGGCGAGAGCGGATTTATTGCTTTCGGACGAGTGAAGCAAGAAATGGCTCATGACGTTTAATAAAAGTTAGTGTAGAGTTCTTCACATCGGTCATAATGAGGTTAGGTCGTCGAATGATATCGACTCAGATAAACTGGAAGAAGCAAACGGAGAGAGAGAGAGATATATATTTAGGGATCACGATCGATAAGGAACTCGAGTTCTGCTAGAGCGACGGTAGCTAAATGACAGAATTCTAGGCCGACGTTCCCTAGCCAGTAAGAGCTCGCGTGTTATTTTTCCATTGTATGTGGCGCTGGTATGATTGAAACGTTCAGTTTACAAATGATGGTGAACTAACGGCGCTCGAGAGGGTCCAGAGGGGGACATAGAAAATCAAAGAGGTAAGAGGGACTTTCGTATGAAAAGCGCTTAGAAGTGCTGGGACTGTGCTCGCTCGAGAGGTCAACGAGGGGGGACCTCATCCAGGCATTTAAGAGAATCGATTTATAACGTAGAGCGTGGTGAGTTTTTCCAGTGCGTTGGCAGCAACACGACGAGATGCAACACGACGAGATGCAACCAAATGAAGTCGCTAGAACCCCAGGTGAGACGGAACTCATTTACGAAAGAAGCGAACGCTCGGAATGCGTCGTGACGATGTAGCGACTGGCTTTAACGGGAGGTTCGATGCCTTCATGGATGACGAAGGAAGCGACGTAGAAATGACGACGTGGATATTCCCCCCCCGCAAAAGTCTCTATCTTTATGGGGGACTGGGTCCTATCTCACGATATGGAGGATGATGGGACGCTCGACGTCGATACGGGAGGTCCCGACGGACACGAGTGCCTCTTAAAATCCTGAAACCCCCAACCTTGGACCTCGAGCGCTCTCGCAATTTCCGAACGACACGGTACCGGTTTCTCCGACGAAGTGCTTCTTCGCCGTAACCCATGTCGTTCTTCCACCGAGAACTCGTCATTCACGGCACGACAAAAACCTGCAAGAATGCTCGGCTTGAGGCCAACAGGAATGCTTTCCGATCCATCGTTTTTTAAACCCGTCGTGCGTGGAATTTTCTAAATATTAACAAACCGCAGTAATGATTCCGGATCTCCGGTGTTTCGTGTAAAAAACCGAGCACGAAAAACTCAGAAAACCGAGCACGAACTCCCTCCTTTTATCTTAATATGTAAATACATCGTGCAAAACATGATACATTGTCACTCAAAAAAACAGAGGTCATAGTGTACCAGGGACATTAGTCACGACGGATGTACCCGTCATATCCACTTGAATTGTTTCGAAAATGTCACCAAAACACAAGCAACCTTGATAACCGATGAGAGGTTTCAACAAAAAAAGAGAATTTCTTCTCCAAGACTGCCTGACTCAAGCTCGCAGAGTAGCGCACCCCGAGAGGAGTTGCGAGGAAATTACTTCTTTGCAATTTTCGATTCTTCAACTTCGAAAAGTTACTTCAGGATGGGTCTTTTTTTTTTTTACTTGGCACATTTATTATTCATTCACAAGATGTCATGCGCAAAAAAACTTGAGGTAAGCACGGTATCAGACTGAGATATTTAAAAAGAAAATAATTCAGCACCCTTTTTTGAGGCTCAATGTAGAAGAACCACAAAAAATCCCGCCTGCTTTCATTTCTCCATCCGTCCTCATTCTTTTGCGGTTGGAGACAAAAAGTAAGTGGTGGAAGAGCGATTATTTATCTGCAAGGTCTGCTAAAACGAGAGGGATGGGGTGGCGTAGATTATAATAATAATTTTTTATTCGTTGTACATTGATTGTAAAAGATTAAAATACGCGGAAGAAAAGAAATCCTGTCAAAGGAAAACGTCACAACTTTCAGTGAAGAGAGAAAAAAAAAAGGCCATTGAAAGGCCGATGATTCGCATCGACGACGACGCCAGCGCCGCCGAAGACCGAGAGGACAAAAAAAGAAGCTTAAATGGAAGTGGAAAATGGTGGAAGGGATTTCGGGCGCACGCTCCGGCCGAACGATGAAACGATGCGGTTTCGGCCGTCCCCATTCACCGTCTGTGGCTTTCAATCCCGAACTGAAGTGGCTCGGGTTCCGGATTTGCATTCGTCGAGCGGAAGAGAATCACGGATGCCGGATCGGTGCTTTTTTTTCCAGGCAACCTGGCTTTTAACTACGTTCCTCGTTCTTCTGGAATCGTGGGGAAAGATCTGTTTCACTTCTCCGGTTTATTTAATACGGATCCAGCGTCCCTGAATTCGGAAAGCTCGAGTAATTGCTTCTCGACCCGGGTTTTCATCAACAGAATGTTTCCTTTGCGAACGCGAACCCCGCATTAAAACGACTTTCACTCTTTTTTCAGCGACATTTTATCCCCCAATTTCGAAAATCACCATCTAAAAAAAAATAAAATGAAACGGCCCGACTTCCCGCTGCATCCCGACCTTCACGTAACCATCACGTAACTCACGTGACTCACCACCACGTAACGCAGTCCCTCCAACGACCTCCTTCCCCTCTCGCGTCACCCCGCGAACCTCCCGGGAAATTGAAACATCCGGCCTCCTCGGCGATGGAGAAACGGATTAAACTGGTTTTCACCGCGTTCGACTCCGTCTTTTGCTTCAGCATTAGCCTCCACCGGATGTGCACAATTAATTCTTTCGCTTCCACGCTCAAATTTAATTTAAAAAAACTGTTTCATTTAGAATATAAATCAACTCTTTGTAACCCCAATTCGCCAGTTTATTATTATTTAAATAAAAAATCCGAGAAAATCCAAGGAAATCTTCGAAGAAAAAAGTTTTTCGACCCTGCTTCCTTTTTTTTTTTTATAGTTTGAGTTTTTGGATCGACACAAAATTACCACGAGGATTTCGCCAGCCGTCCGAAAATTTTCCCGCTTCAAGTCATTAATCAACTAATTAACATCGCACGACCGTGCGTTTTGTCGGTCCGACGGGATCCCATCCCGCCAGCATCCGGCTGGATTCCATTCTCTTGTTCAGTTTCCGCCCGCGTGAATCGGCGAAGGCCCTTTCGTGGCAGGCGACGAGCATGAGTGCGATCACAGGCGCGCCTGTCAGCGTGAACGAGGGGGCCTGTAACGTTCGCAAAACAGATTGGAAATGATTTTCCCGCTTCGCCGTCGATAGCGAAATTTTGAGCGTGGAGAAAACGTTTGTACGGTTCGGGTGAATTTAATCTCGTTTCTCTTTTATCGAGCGACCATACTCGGGAGGTTTCGGAGAAAATATCCGGACCAAAAGAAAAAAAAGGCAGGCGTGGGCTTGGAAAGCGAGACGCCTTCGCTTTCCGTCGTCGACGATCTGCCGTTCCGGAACCGAAGATCCGGCCCGTCGTCGGTGTCGACGATTTCGCTTCGGAATCTGTCCCCGCTTCCCGAACGACACGGACAGATGTCGCCACGATCGAGACCGAAGCAGCGATCGCCGTCGGAAGAAAGCTGAAGATTCCCTCCATCGAAGAAGGGGGACCAGGGAACGCGATCGAGGTCAGCGCGGTGCTCCAGACGCACACGACCGACCGTCCGTGCCCGCAGACGTCCTTGTCGAGTTGGTCACAGTTACATAGGATGGCCTCGCGTCACGTCATCGGCCTCACGTCACGTCGTAGGCCTCGCGTCACGTCGAGATGATCGACTTTTGAGGCAGCCGGATCGTAGACCTTATTGGTCCATATTTGAATTGCCGAAAAGGTAGGTCTACGTCTCAACTGTTGGCAGGTCTGATCGGTTCTGGTTCCTTTTCCGATTCCGAATCGTTCTTGCGATGTTGGATTATTCGTCGAGGACTTAGACTACTCATCGGCGTTAACCTAATGGGGAAGGGGGGAAGTAAGAGGATAAGCTTTTTAAAAAGTTTTCATATTATTTCATATTATATTCACATTTCCGATTGCACAAGGCGAAAATACTTCATCTTTCCTCCCATAACAGCTACATCTTAAAATTAATTTAAAAGATATTTATCGAGAGCTTCGCGCGGATTGAATACGATATTTCGGACCCAACCGAACGGCGCAACATGCGAAGAAACGCGAAAAAAAATTCCGTTTTTTGTTTTGTTTTTCCATACCTGTGACTCTTGAGATTGCAGTCTGGGTCGCTTGGCGACGCCGTTCCCCACAGAACTCATCTTCGAATAATCCCAGGTACGACGCGGAAACCCTGGCCGTGTCTCATCGCATCCATCTCCGCCACGAAATCGACACCTCATCGAGGAGAGTGCCCGGACCCGCCATGTCGACGGCGCGCGTCTTCGATTTCACTCCCGAGCTGGAGGCTCCACGGCGTCCTTGTGGGACGGGAATGAAATGCTCGGGCTCGTATCTCCCCCTTTTTTTTCCCGCTCTTCATCACTCAATCCTGGCTTCGCTCTGCACACGCACATTCACGCTCTCTCGCGCTCTGCACACGCACCGCCTTGGCCGTATGCCGAGCTCGTCCCGCCAGATGAGTACGAATGCCATCGACGTGAGAAATTTAAGGCATTTCTCCGAGTTTGGACCTAATCCAGGAAGTTCTCATGCTTTTCGAGCAGCGTTCTTGCACGAAGAATAGCTTTTGGATGCAGTGCAGAGAGAGAGAGAGAGAAGAGAGAGAGAGAGAGAGAGAGAGAGAGAAGAGAGAGAGAGAGAAGAGAGAGAGGAGGAGAGAGAGTCTCCATCATAGGCGGCGTTTGGGTTTTTTTTTGGTCGGGTTGAGTCGCTCCGAAATGTTTTCCGAAGGTAGATTTTATTTTTCATGGAAGTAGCTTTGCTGCTGGGACAGAAATGGATTAAATTCATGTTTTCGTCAGCTACCAGGTAACTTTTGCTTCCAAATCTCATGATTATGATCGGTGAAAAAAAAAAATAGAGAAGGGACAGAGATGGATGGGCCCCGCAGGTAAGTGGGAATTCACCTGAAGTGCAGGAAATCTAGGAATTGGAATGATGAGGGAATATAGTCTTCTTGTTGGCACCCTCAAATGACGCTCTCTAGCGAGAACTATAATCTCCATCTGCAGAGGCTGACAATGTAATTGCTGCAGAATAATTTTTTTTTTTTTTTTTTTTTTACTAAGGGGAAACCACGATGCATCGCAGACTCCGTGATGCATCCCCCAGACAGACAGATATATCTATAAGCGATGCAAAGGGCTCATCTCTCGAAGGATCGGTGCACGGCTTGGGTGGCTGGAGCCGTCAAATGGAGCCGCCTCGCGAGTTCTGGGGAATGGATTGTGTCACTGGCATGGATGACAGCGACCATGAAAACACCCTGTAATGCGATGGACCATTAACTTCGAGATGTGGATATCAAAACAATGTGGATCAAGGCTGAGAGTTCGAGAGTACGCTCTACTGGAATTCATTCTGAGAAGGCGCCGAGGAGCACGTGCGTGAAGAAATGAACGTGATTGCGTGGCGCGTGACAGCGATGAAGTTATGGGCGCAAGGGCAACGTCTGCGTCCCGTCGCCGCGGAGCACGTACTACTCCCGCCTTGAGACCAGAAACCTTCGACATTATTTTTCGCCGTCTACGTGAATGAATGACTGAAACGAATGATTCGTAACGATCTCTTTCACGCTCGACTTAGTATCGCGGAAGGGAAAAAGTCGATCCTTGAGGAACTGCAAGGTGTGACGTGCGTCTACTGACCTCAGACCTGCCGACATGTTGTCTCGACTTGGACCGGAGGATTCTGCGATTTTTAAGAGCAGTTTCTTGCCTCTTGTGCAGCAATAAAAGCCCTGGTATGTTGACTTCTACTACTACTGCTTCAAAATTGGAAATAACTGTCACTTTTCATTCAACGGTAGGCCAATTCATTTTTAGTCCGTGACATTTCAAGTGTGAGCCATTAACATGAGCCATGCCACAATATTTAGAGTAATTCGTCAAATTGTGAAGTGTTGGCCTAATTATCCTATCCAAATGTCTATAACTGTGTAGATGACTAACGTTAGACCGAAGAAATTGTCAAATGAGTTGAGGAGATGAGGGACCTCGAGCAACTGGTCCCGCGACGTTTCGCGAAACGTTGTGGTCTACTGCGGGTACAGACGTTACATTCCAGTGGCATGCCTAAGGGGAGGGGGTTTGGGGGTCAACCCCCCCCCCCCCCCCCCATTGGGATCTTCTGGGCACACTACTGTTCCATTCCATTCACTCTTTTGCTGCTGATCGATACTATCACTGCTGTCTGCCTCCTGCATCATGAGATGGTGGCGATCTGAACAACACCGATCAGAAGTGCAATTTCTGCGATTCGCCTGGCACGGGTACCGGCACCTTGGTATGGGCACAGGAGTCAGTGGTACTTGAGTGTGACGACTCAGAGACACGGTGTGACGCCATCATGGTGCCAGCGGGACGCCAAGCATACCAATTTACCATCGGTACTCCTGGGGTATTCCGGCTATGGCCGACTACTTGTCTCGGGTTTTCTGATTGGCGACACCTGGAATGCTCCTTCAATGTCGACCAGGCTTCGCTACTGCGATGAAGCATCGCGGCATCCCAATGTTTATGCTCTCGAGTGGGATTGGGATAGGAATTAGCCATTGTTGACAATGTGTCATGAGGTTTCCCTTGCAACCGCCTGACATGTATATCTTGAAGTAGAGTGATTTTCGATTGATTGTATCCTCCCTACTGAGGCTAAAGTGGGAATGACTTAATTCCCACTTCAGTCTCTGATTTAACCAGGGGCAGCTTCAATGAGACACTAGATATAAATCAGCTATATGACATGTAGTGCCGTTCAGAAGGGAATATGGGGAAGGGGGGGGGGGGCATTCAATCGAAAAGTACTGTAGGGGTTTAGCTTCCAAATCGCTCCTCAGCTGATTGCAACGCTCTACGGTTTGGCGGTTTGTATGTCCATGAGAAGGTTCTCCGCGAGGGATGGGCGCGGAATCGAATATACCCTTCGTGCTCATTTCCTGTTTCTGCCTAAAGTGTCGTGCTCGCCAACGTCTAAAGCAACTAAGCACTGAGGGTGTGAAAGAATATTTCCGGGATCCTGGAATTTGGTGAGTCATAGACTTTCCAAAGATTGTCCATGTAAAGTTTTCTATCCATGGGGGAACATGGAGCGAGATTTGGACGTCTTCATTCGTTCCCTTGGCCTTGGTCACAGCATGGCCTCTGTTTAACCATAAGATCGGCTTATATCTTCATCAGTGTGACCAAAGGCATTTCCCCAGTCCCATTTCATGTCTTGATGAGCAGTGTGCATTCCCCCTTGAATTCGTCTAGGCAAGCAAAGGAGAGGGAATTGGAGGGGGGGAGAGGGGGAAATCGAAGTGGTTGAAACAACCAGTGAAGTCTCTTTTCCTCGCTGAGTATTGAAAGAATAATATTCAGTGATGACTTCTCTCCTCGATGACATGTTTATGTACACGTAGGAATTCCGGTAGCGGTAACGCCTCCACGGCATAAATAATCAATGTAAACAGTCTCGATGGTGATTATAAACGGTCTCTCTCCATTCGGCGAGTCACCTTCGAGGAAGTTTCCGTCTGTAACATGGAAGGTGCTATTTTATAAATACGAGGCCGACAATTTGGTGTTAATTTCCCCCACCAAAAGGTTGAGAGAGCTTTGATGGGAGGTCAGTTTCGGGACTCATCCATGGCTCAGAACATTTATTCCTGGCAACATATCCTGGTATCATGAATTTTGAGAGTGGAAAGCACATCTGTACATTCCTCTCGGGAAGGAGCCTCTTCCCTTCCAGTTTAACAGATCAGAATCAAATTTAAATGGCGTGCTGTACAAATATCCCCCATGACTCGTCCTATATCTCTTTCTTACTTGTTTTTTTTTTTGGATAATCTTACTGAATATGGGCGACAATGCCAGTAACCCGGACTTACTCGAGTACTGGCCTTAATCATTGTAGTTCTGACTTGAATTATAAAAACGATTCGATCTACTCGACGTCAAAAGTCAAAACTGCTCGATCATATTGGTACTGAATAGTTCCAAATACATTTAGGCAAAGTGTTAAGCTTTCATGAATTTCAAGAGAGGAATCCAATGTTGAAAATGTATAATAAAATGAGATCAGCATCCGATCCTGACAACATCACATCTACCTCAAGACGTTCATCAAACGACTTCCAATCATTCCGTAGCTTCAAAATCCCTGAGAGTCCTCCTTGATTCTCTTAGTGTGATGAAGGGTAAAAGGTTCAATCCTGGTCCTACTCCTGGAGGGAAGGGAGGGGAGGGGGGGGGGGGAGGGAGTTGCGGGTGCAAGTCAATCGGAGCACTTCAGATTTTAAAATGCTGTGTGAAGTAGGGCAGGGAAAATTCATCAACGCATCAGTGACAGAAAGGCAAATGAAATTAATCAGGTACATTCATGATATTGTTCAAACCATCCTTTCACCTGTCTCACCTAACTGAAGGCACTTGACCTGGTGTTCCTCTAATTATTTAAATCTGTTGATAGAGTATGGCTGACTGTCATAGCAAGTCGTGAATTAGCGCCGAAAAGAGAGGATTTCGACTGGAACGTAATATAGGTTTGTCCTGTTTTGAATACTCCATGCGAATAGTGATTCCCATACAGCTACTTAAACGCGACTATGAAAAGCTGGTGAAAATCTGTAAAGGGTGGTGTACAACCTGCAACCTGCCCCCCTACCTCCAGACAAAGCCAGCAGAGTTTGACCAAAAACAAAGGTTATCCTTGCTTTCTAATCATCACACAGTATTATGTGCAACATTTAAAATAAGGAAGACAGACGTCTTAGGTGACAGCGAACCATTATGCCTCAAAAATTGAACTATAGCTGGGCTAAAGACGAGGGTGCAACATTCATCACGAAAAAGTGGATTACAATAAAGTTGAACACAGGTGAAAGTTGTGTAAAATGGAACTGGAACCAGACCTTAAGCAATATTGCTTCTAATTTAGAAGGTTTTAGATCGCTGAAGCTCTCACCATTGAATGAAGCCATCAGGACAGAAATTTCCAGTCTCCAGAAGATACGGGAAAACGGCATTGACATCATTGGATATAAAGAATGGCCGGGGAACTTACATGCTTCTAAACAATGTTTACAAGCATGTAGGGTCAATTGTGAGGGATTGAGAGGAAGAAATGAAGAAAACAATGCACTTTCAATCAAGATTATGAAAGAAAAAAGAAACAGATGATGGTGATTCATACATTGAAAGATGGTGTTGATTGGCTCTGAAATTTGTTGATATTTTGGCCTGAAAGAATCAGGCCATTTTAAAGGCACATGTTCTTAAAATAGAGTTTACATTTTGCACATTATACTTTGTGATGATAGTAAATCAAGGGTAACTTTTGTTTTTGGTCAGACTCTGCAGGTTTTGTCTGGAGGTAGGGGGCATATATTTTGCATTACCCTGTATATGTCGTTCGAAGATGCGTAAGGTTGAGGTTAAGGCAGTCGTGCCTCTGAAGTGCTTCTCAAGGCCTTATTTCACCCTGAAGGTCTAATCGTACAATGAACAATACTGGAAAGGCCTCGGTGATTTTCATCCTCGAAAGACAGCAACAAGAATGGTTCAGCATGTTTCAGCATGTTTCAGCATGTCACTTGTGAAATCCAAAGTATTGAATGAGAATTTCAGAAAATGTCCAATTCCGTGCTCTGAGTGGAGGAGACAGGAAGGACCTTGAGTTTCTTCTCACCCCGGAGGACACTTCTCCACCCCCAGCCCTTGCCGAACTCCTCGGCCTCTTCTAGGGTCTGAGGCAAAGGTTTATTCAAAGTCTCGGGAAGGAGAAGCGAAAAGACCCCACCCACAGTGGAAATAACTCCCATGACGATCAGAGGCAGAACAAGATTCTCCACTCCCAGGTAGACGATAAAAGGCACGGCGATGAGTCCCAGGTTGCTGATGTAGGACCCCAATGCTAATCCGATGCTTCGCAGCTCCGTTGGATACAGCTCCCCCGCAAATGGGTAGATGATCAAGAACGAGGCTGTGATGCTCAGCTTCGAGATCAGGAACAATACCAGAGTTGGCTCTTCCTCCCCTGTGCATTTTTTTTATCAGAAAGAGGTTCACTTCGTGGTTGTCCTTTTGTTGGCAAGGTTTAAGCTTCGTCTTTATCACAAATGGTTTTCCATTTTTCCCTCCCAGTGAAACTTGCCTTGTGGCATCAAAACGGTACAGATGGCGCTCATACCTCCCGCTATCATCAGCATTGCCATTGGTAACCTGCGTCCTATTTTCTCCATTGCAAGGTAAGTTGGAGGGTAGGAAACCAGTTCCACAGCTGAAGACAAGGTGAATCCTACGTACGCATTGCTTCCCATTGCAGGTCCACAGTAGTTCAATCCTACGTAAACTGTCTGATTCGCGAACCTGTAAATCTTGCGCATCGAGTTAATTCAGCAATATACCACACAAGAGATGTGCATGAATGTTCAACGTACCAAGTAAATGTAATGAGTAAAGTTTTCTTGCGGAGATTCGGAGTTTTGAATAAATCCAGGAGGCCAGGTCGAGAATGGTTCTTTGTCTCTATTCGGAATCCGGATTCCTCTTGAAATCTCTCCTGCGCCAGTAGTACCTTTCCGGACGGAATTCAGTGCTTTATCAAATCCCTTTAAGTGTCAAGGGAAATGTAGACAGCAATTGAACAATAGTTTAGAAGCTGCTGAGTGTAGATACAGTATATGGACCATTACTAACTGAAGGAAATATTCCCCCGGAAAAGCTTTGATACAGACAGGGCTTTGATAGGGTCAGCGAGAGAGAACAGGAACAGGAGAGTCTATAATATTTATCGCTGCCCTTGGCCTACACACGAGCGAAATGATTACTTCCTGTATCCGATTCACCAGTCATGTCTGCAAGGGCAGTCTGTTGCTTTGGGGGGCGAGGACTGACGCCATGCATAAAATGCATTTAAGTGCGCTTGCATGCAAGAGAAAACCTGTTTCTGATAGGATGGTCTCATGCGATGAGAAATTCTCAGTTACTTTGAGTCGTTTTATCGTGGATCTTTTCAGTTTCATCCCATTGACCCGTGCTATGGTCTCCAATGCATCTATCGTTTCCTGCAGACGACCTTGCCTTAGGTTCCATCTGGGAGACTCCGGGAGGTACCTAAAAGACAGAAAGCAAGAATTGACAAAGAAAAAATATGCCTGTATGCGTCTAAAATAAGAATGTGAACCAACTCGGTGTGGTTGAACTACTGTATGTGCCAGCTAGTCATTAGGAAGGATAATGTCCCGTGATCTTGAAGAGGAGTTTAACGTACTTATCTTCACCCGGATTTCGCAACGTACCAATAAGCGAGGAAGAGTGGTAATAGAGGAACAGTCGTGGCATAAGCCAAGTCCCTCCAATAAGGAAAGGCGAATGCCAGCCCTGCCAGACCCAAAAGTCCAAACGTAAACCAGGTGCAGGTCATAATGGTGACAAACGTCCGCTCTGTGGCTCCCACGAATTCTAGTGCTGAATAATAATTAAAGGGCTCTATCAAGGAAGGCGCTAATACACAATACTGTAGTTTGCCAGAAGGGTAAGTAGGTATCTCTAAACCCACACTTGTAGAGAAGGTTCGTTGCTCTAAATAGGGAAGTTTCCTCTTTCATTCTTAAATGAAAGAGGAAAGTTAACTGATTTACGGAGGGTCATCAGCAATAACCCGATTTTAAAATAAAATTTAGTTTTGCACTTTCTTGCATGGGAAAATTTTCCTTGATATTTCCAGACCTGAACTCATCTGAGAGTGCTTTTCTTCACATGCTCACCTATGATGAAGGGTATCTGCCAGACTGCGGGGATTGTGAGACCGACGAAGAATCTGGCGATCGCAAACGTCGTGAAATCTGGCACTAATGCAGTTGCCAGTCCTGCTACCGCTTCGACAAGAAGGCACAGGAAAAATGTCTTACGCCTTCCACACCTGCAAATGTAAATGGACATCAATGAAATGTAAATGGATGAACCCCTCGTTGGTCGTGGGTTTTGTCGCATGCTCTTTTTCTCTCATCTAACCTGTCGCTGAGGTATCCAAACAGAGCCACGCCTATGAATGATCCCGAATTGAAGACGGCCAGTGCCAGGGCTGGATAGTAATCCCTTTCACACACTAAATCAAACTAAAGGCGACACCTTTGCGGAAATGTTACGAATAATCTGTTCAGTAAGCGTATACAACCATGTTTCTTAGACTCACCTCATCAACAATGGATATAGGGCCATCCGTTCCTGATGTATTGTAACTCCATCCTCTGGAACATGGGATCCTCTCCCAAGACACATTCTTTGGTGTTAGTGACCTGATTGTTTTATGGGTCAAGGACAACAAGTCTTTTTCCGTGGCGTCGTACTCATGACATGCTGACGGATTTCCATTCACCTTCACATTGATGAAAATAAAATGAACCTTGAATAAATCCAATCGGCTCGTTCAATTGGTTCGTTGCTATGAATAGCAAGGGCACCTCTCACTTGACGGGGTAATATGGCTTGATAGAGGGAATTAGAGTGAGAATGGTTGCTGATTTTGTCTTCTATGGTGGAAGGGAGAGTGCATCGATGCGGTGGGACCTGAACCATGAAAAGCTGTGAGAACCCATGTAGACCGCACGGTATGCAAGCCGGAAACACGATGAGCCACAGGATCAATCGTTGCCATCGTCCATAGCCTCCGAGTTCTTCCAAAATGTCGTCGAATGTTACCCTTTCTTCAAATTCTGGGTCCTGGGCACACAGAGATTGCTTGTCCGCATGAAACACAATACGCTCAGACATCTTCGTGGGATTTCCAATAAGCAAAGAGAATATTCTTATCTAAATTCTGTCACTCAAAGGCATTCACAGGATGATTTGAGTCCTGGGATGCCACAACCAACATAGGCGCTCCAACATTAGGGAGACGGGGGTGGAGGACGCCGCCCCTTCCACACCTGCCCCGAAAAATTAGATCCTGGAAACATTTCTTCTTTCTCTTGGCAAACCAACACCAACCCCAACCCCCAACCCCCCCCCCCCCCCCCTTGGGGGTGCGCCTATGAATGGCAACCAGCCAGGTCAAAGGCGGACACGAGATCCTTGAATGGGCAGGGACTAGGCCTGGGGACTTGCTAATATTTTCAATTGCTCTGACTCAGAGCTGTAGAAAATGTTGAAATGAAAGCAAATAACACTCAGTGCCAAATATTTTCTGGAATATGTGACTGGGAAGTCGATGGTGCTTCTGCTGCTCGAGTGACCTAAGCGTAGGCAGTTATGAGAAGTGATCAGAGAATTCTGTCGCCCCTTTGACCATATGAAAAGAATTTTAGTCGAGCAATTGCTTCGTTGCTTGGAGTAATTGATTCTTGAATTAGGTTTACTTGGCCCAACGATCCACGATCCTTTTCGGTTCTTCACATAGCCTGTTTTCCTAGATGCCCTTCAATGCCATGCCTATTTTTGCATTGACTTTCACTAGGCTGACGTGGTACGGATCTCGTTTTTCATGACTGGAGAAAGAAGGAAGTCACAGTGATTCAAGTGTGGAAAATACGTGAGGTTAGAGTGAAATGTTGCTTTCCTTCCCCCCCGCGTATCCTCCAGACCTGGTTTACTGTAACTTCTGTTTCCAGTCATGAAGAAAGAGCACTATGGAGAACGCTGACAACCCAGATGTGCTCCGTGAGGAACCGGAAAGGATCGTGGATCGTTGGTCATGTGTATCTAATTGAAGTAAGAAATTGTGTCACCAAAATGAGTCTTTCCTTTAAAATGTGTGTGATCAATGGGGGTGGAAAAATAAACTTTTAAATCTCCCATCATTGTTTTAGACATAAGCTGGGTTTACACGGGGAAATCTCTAGAAGGGAAGATGAAAGCAACAAGTTACGAATAACGTCATCTTCATACAGGGCATTATTGCATTAAGTATCTAGTAAACGACGCTGTCTTATATGTCCAATGAACTTCGAAATCCAAGCTCCTCAATATTTTATGCTTAATGAATGAAGGAAGATGGGTGTCACGTGTCAGTCACGTGCCAGCGAAGAGAACTCCAAAGAAAGCATTCCTTGGAAGAGAAGACCGGTTAATCAGGCTATAATTACCGTCTAAGGTGCTTCTGGGCCGGGACATCATGCATGCACTCCTCGTCCGGCCTCATACCTCCCCCCCCCCCCCCCCCCCCCCCCCCCCCGCTCCCCCCC